AATTCAAATGTCTAGATTTTTTTAAGAGAAGCAAATCTTCAAAGAGGTAAGTACGAAACTGTTAATTGTTTCAAACTATATCTAATCCATCAAACAAAATGCAAAAATAAGTGGAAATAAACTAGGTGTTTGACTGTATTAAGCTGTAGTAATTACAATCAGCAAAACGGTACTCAGGTGTGAAGGGATGGTAGTGGCAGTGGCAGCTCTGTTGGGTTGGGGAGATGGCTCAGCCAGCGAAGTGCTTCTGGGCAAGCCTGAGGAACTGAGCTTAGATCCCTAGCACTTGTATGGAAGCTGAGTATGACACTGAGTGTCTGTATTTCTAGCATTGAGGAAGAGGGAATAGGAAGATCACTGAGGATGGCTGGTAAGTTAGTCTGGCTAAATCAGTAAGCTCCGGGATCAATGAGAGATAGTTTCTCAACAAATAAGGTCAAGAGCAATTGAGGAAGGTGCCTGACACTTCTGGCCTCCACACACTCACACACACAAGCACATGTATGTGCATACCATCCTGTAGTGAGAATTTTGTAATTTAGTTTCTTTAAAAAAAAAACAAAAAACAAAACCAGAAATGTTACAGGAATGTTTTCTTTTTAATCCCAGGTATGGATATGGGGTGCTTTGAAGCAGCTGACTCTGATTTGCCTCATGGTCTGGTCGAGGAGAGGGGGGTGGTTTTGCCAGCTGCAGAGAGTTTCTGTGAGTGTGTGATGTTTGGAATTCTGAGGACTTTTTAGAGGGTGTATAAACATGATAGAGCCCAACAAGTGGGTGGCTGCTTGGTGGTTGAACGGTGGTTGAGTCATGTCAAGTAGTCACATGCAAAGGAATGAGAAGAACAAATTAGATATCCCAATGATGAAGGTCAGACTTGCCCCCAAGGAGCTCAACGCCCTTAATCAGCAGAAAGTAGTCTATCAATAATGACGCCCCCTTTCCTTTTATTCTTTTTTTCTCTTCTATCTAGTGTTAGGAGGCTAAAGGGGAAGAAGTAAAGGGTAGAGAAGGGTGGGAGAGAAAAAGGAAGCCACAAAGTAGCAAATACCAACGACACCACTCCCATACACACACACACACACACACACACACACACACACACACACACACCACGAACTGAGAAAAACAGGTTCGAAAGTATCACGTATAGAGGGCCATTTGTTGTATATACAATTGTGACATGTGCATGGCAAAAAGTTTGCTGATATGTGTATTGAAATATAAGTGGCTTTTGAAGCAGACAGAAATAATTTCTGCTTTTATATATATATAAAATATATATAAATATATATATATATCTAATGATCATTTTTCTTCTTTCTTTCATTCCTCTCTCTCTCTCTCTCTCTCTCTCTGTGTGTGTGTGTGTGTGTGTCTCTCTCTCTCACACATGCACACTTATAACAGGAACTCAGACCATATTCCAGGCTGATCTGAAACTCTGTGCAACTCAGGCTGGCCTCAAACTCATGACCATCCTCCTATCCCAGCCTCCTACATACTAAGAACACAGAGAAGAATCACCATGCCCAGCTTTACATTTTAGTTTAAGAATTGTATTAGTAGTAGTAATTGTATGTTGGAGCTGTAGTTGACCTCAGAGCCTTGTGCATGCTAGATAAAACAAGTTCTTTACCATGAACTACATGCATCCCTTTGGTTTTTCTACAAGGAGTTTACACATGTCTTATGCATAATACATATTGTTTGGGTTATTGCTTTTCTTTCTGAACTCTTTCTCAGAATTTGGGAAGTCTATCCTTTCCTTGATGGAGTGAAAAGGGATGAATCCTTTTCACTCCCTAACATATTTCCTATCTGGACTCTACAGGTTGCAAAGGCAGACCCAGTTTCAGTTTCCTCACTTTCACAAAGTCACACTACACAGGCATTTCACAAGTTGAGGTTTTCTGGCTCACAGGTGTTGAAAAATCCTGGTGCCATTTCCTGTCCATGTGTACTGGAGCTCTCTGGTTAAGATACCAGGGAGGCTTCTCTCCCTTTTCATTCTTCTGTTCTTCTCATCTTCTTCCTCATTTGTTTGTTTGTTTGTTTGTTTGTTTGTTTGTTTAAACAGGATTTCATATAGCTCAGGTTAGCCTCAAACTTACTATGTAGTCAAATCTGGCCTTGGTCTTCTTGTCTCTACCTCTCAAGGGCTTGAACTGATTACAGGCATACATTACCTTGCCTGTACATTACCTGGTTAAATGGTCCTCCCTACCCCCCTCCCTTCCTTCCTTCCTTCCTTCCTTCTTCTTTTTCTTCCACTTTTTGGAATTTTTGAGACAGGGCCTCCCTCTATAGCCCAGGTTAGCAATCCAAATTGTTAGGCTCACAAGCATGAGCCACAATTCCTGGCTTCCCTCCTTTACCTCTAACTTTTCATCCTTTCTTCATTTGGCTCTGGACAGCTCAGAAGTCCATATAGTGCAGCAAAGAAGGGGCATGTCTCTGGCAAGCAGGATAGGGAGATTCTGGATACAAAGGCAGAGTCAAGGCTCGGGTTCCCTGCTTATAACACAGTTCTGAGGTGACTACCCTGAACATCTTTCAGTAGCCTTGGGGGCATTAGTAAAATCAAAGTATATAATAATATATAAACAGTTTGATCTTGGTTGGGGATGGCACATACTTGTAATCACAACATTTCGGAGGTGGAGACTGGGTTTCTGTGATTTTGAGATCAGCCTGAGCTGCATAGTGAATTCAAAGTCAACCTGGACTTTGTGAGACCCTGTCTCAAAAATAAATAAATAACAGAAAAGAGCAGTTGTTTCTCTCTGCCCCTTCCCCCAAAGTAGGGGTAACATTAGTTACTACAAGGATCTCTGCAAAGGGATGTTTCCTCCAGTGCTTGTCACTGTGATCCAATGCCTAGAACCATGCCTGGAACCTAAAGAACTTCGGTATATGCTTACTGAATGAATAAGTGAAAGAGGATTCCATTCATCTTCCAAGTCTCTGTACCAATATAAGGCTTTCTGTTCCTCAACGTATCGGCCATTCTTTGCTGTCAGCTCCCATCATGCCCCATGATGGTCTAATCATCACAGCAATTGCATGCATTACAGGGTCCACTGACTTAATAATGGTGATAATAAGCTATCCCCAAGCCTGTGAAGAGGTCACTGGGGTCATCGGACTTACAGTTTATGTCTGAGCACACATGACATTTCATCTGCCCGTGACATGGGCAGAGAGGGGGATGAGGCTTGATCCATGAAGGTGCTCAGCAAATATTTATACCTTTATCATTTGACTCCTTAAAAAAAAAAAAAGTCCAAATGACCTTTGCTTTAGATTAATATAGATGTTGGGCTGACACACCTCAGGGAAGCTGGGAGTAAGTATTAAGATTAAAGAGAATCTCAATGTATATCATGTACGTGAGATCCTGGCCAAGAACTGTCCTGTCTCTAGGCTGCCCCTTGCGCTTTTTTCTATTGCCATGTATGCCGCCATAAGTAGCTCCTTACTATCTCCCATCCAGAGGTGCAATGGAGTAGCCCTATAACCTTCCAGCTTTGGTACTTTCTCTTCACCAGTGTGAAGTTCCAAATCCCAGCAGTTGTCACTCATCTGCTCAGTATGGCCCCAGTTCAGGTGAGGGTCCATTTTTGGCTGTATCACATGGTGGCAGACGGTATCATGAAGAGGGGGAGATCACATGGAGGAGCAGTAAACCAGGGCAGGGGTCAGGGGAAGGGCTGGCCTTATTTATTACTTCCCTCTTAGGAAGAACTAACTCAGTATCTCCTAAGATTCTTCCCAGGGTAATAGTATCAATGACCTATGGTTTCCCCTTAGGCTCCATCTCTTAAAGATCCTATCACCTTTTAACATCACTACATGAGGACCATGACTCTGACACACAAAGTACCAATGGATACACACGAAAACAAACAAACAAACAAACACCTAAGCATCACTTTTAGCTTGAAATTTAAGAGAGACCTACTGTTGTCTTTCTCACAGCAGTTTCTCTGGCCCCATTTAAAGAAACAAAGATCCCTATATAGCAATTAGTAATGACAACCACTTTTGCCTTTTTAACTTTCTTCAAAGCTCTAAGAAGCACAAGAGCTCTCTCCCACAGTGACAATGATTCTTCGTTCACCCAGACATCAGTCAGACTCCTAAACCTCCTAGGCCCACCTATGCATTTCCTTACAAAATTCGGCTTTATCAAAGAATTGTGCTCCAATAATATCTGAACAGCCTTGGTGTCTCATGAGCTTCTTCATCTGCCACCATCTCTCAGATGACATCTAATTGCAGTGGCCTTCCCTCAGCTAGAATCCTAGAGTTTCCCTTCTCTCTGAAGTTTCCTCTTAGTACATTCCCATGAACTGACCCCATCATTCTCTTTGCTATGAACCCCTACTTCTTCATACTGTATTCACATTTAAGGTCAATCTTTCTTCCCCATGGAAGTCTCCATTAAATCAATCACTACACCTGTCAAGACGCCCCTCAATAAAGTCATCCCCAGTGTCCATAACAGGCATGCTAAAGAATCCAGTGTTTTTCTATTTTTTTATCTATAAAACGACAATGGCTTCTGTTTGCCTCAAGAGACCACAAAAAGGATAGAAAGGGGCAAAGAAATGCTGGTTGGTAAAGCCCTTTACCAAAATGACAAAGTAAGAAATATTAGCACTTTAAATACTGCAAGTGAACGCAGTCAAATATAGCAAAGCACCACTGCCCTTCACATCAAATAAAGACGCATGTAGAGGAGATAATGTTCTGATAGTTCTTCTTTCTCCACTTCACCCTTACACTTTCCTTCCTTGTCATCTCACCTCTGTTATCTCAGGGTCTGCTCAGTGGCATCCAAAACTGAGAGAGGAAAGCAGCAGAAGAGCTGGGTAGGCATATCCTTCTATCCTCTCTGTGCCTGGCTCCTTAGCATTGCAAAGCAGAATGAGCTACAACTCCATGAGTATATGGCTGCCATCAGGATTCAACAGAATGAAGATAAGGCTACTCACGAGACACAGAGGCATAGGGCTCCTGGCACAGACTCGCTGTCTCTTATCAGAAAGTTGCCATCCACCCCTCCCTTGAGGAGCAGGGCTTCGCACTCTCGCTTGGTCAGCTGGCCATGGTAGTAAGGCAGATCCATGGAGGGTTGTTATGTTTAAACCACCTTGTCAATCTGAAACCAATTCCAGGCAAAGGGGTGGCTCTGAAGAGGGAAGTAGAGAGAGCAGTAGAAGGGAAACTTCCCTTCCTCCAGTGTTGCCCAAACAAGATGAGCTTGCTCTGTGGAGTTCAGTCAACTTTACAAGACTCAGGAAATGAGAAGGGAGCGGTGGTGAAGTGACCAAGACACTTATAGGTCTTGAGTGGTTGGCCTAGAGGTGGGTGGCTCAAATATGACTCACAGAAGGGGTGAGAATACAGTCCAGCTCATAGTCGGTGCTGTTTGTGGCTATAACAGCAACACTAACGTCAGGTTCCCTGGATCCAGGTTATAGCATATCTCATACCAGTTCTCACCCATTCTGGCTCATCGTGCTCTGCATTAATCGCTGTCTGTTCAAAAAAAAAAAAAAAAAGCTTCTCTAATGAAGATTGAGAAATGCACTGATCTGTGAACACAATAATGATCAGTCATTACGAGTTAGTTTGATACCGGGTCCATTTAGCAAAGCAATGGTAGTAGGTTTTACCCTAATTACAAGGACCTCTCTAGACACGGGTTCTTAGCCCCAATAAGCAGTGTCAAGCATGAGTTTCTGTTTTGGCGCATCCATCAGAGAAGACTACTTGGATACGGGTTTAAGCCAGTAGAAAGTCTTTATTAGCTGGCCAGCAACTACACTGAGTGTTTGAGATCCCAGTGTAGCCCTGAGTCTTTCTTGGGGTAAACTTTTAAGTACAAAAACCATATGGTGGGTTAATATATCTCAGCAAAAACAGTTAGTCTGAAGCAGAACTACAGAGGGCATAAAACAAGGTTAGTTAGTACCTTTAGAGACTTTACCAGATCTGTGGACTTTGACAGACAGGATCTTTGTTTTTGTTCTGACACAGTGGTTCTCAACCTGTGGGCTATGACCCCTAGAGTGGTCACATATTTATGTTAGGATTCATAACAGCAGCAAAATTACAGTTATGAAGTAGCAACAAAATACTTTTATGGTTGGGGATCACCACAATATGAGGAGCTGTATCAAAGGGTTGCAGGACTGGGAAGGTTGGGAACCATTGTTTTGACAGGTGGCAGTGTCCGTATGCTGAGTTTTGTGGTCTGGATGGGATTTTCACAATGGCATAAGCTTTGCTAAGGCCTGGTGGCCTCCTAAGGTCTATAATTTCAATGAGTGGCGTGAGCCTTAAATCCAATCAGAAACTGGATTGGTTACTTCTTTGACATTTATGCTGCTGTTGCACCAGTGGGCACATCTTCTGGGTTAGTCATCATTTTAGCTCACAGGCTGCACAGCTAGGTGAGAACAATGATTACTTTTCTTTTCCAGTAGCCTGCTTACCACCTTTTAGTCCTATGGAAGATAGCCAAGAAGAATGAAGCTTCCAAGTGAGAGGCAGCTTAATTTCTCTTTGTTTTGGGACTCAAGTATATGGTATCTTCAGCAGCAGGGTCTTACCATAGAATTCTGGGAAATACCCAAGAACAATGCAATAATGTTTGGGGTCTATGGGACCTCACTGGACAACTCCAAAAAGAGGTAACTCATTCCTGGCAATAGGAATTTTAGTTGTTAGCTTGCGGTATCTAATAGGAGTATTGAGGCACAATCACAGGTAACTCCATTTTAATTTTTTAGGTACATAATATATATGTACACACGTATAGATTCTAGAGAAGTTAGGTTTTTTTTTTCAAAATGTCTAAATCAAATAATATTTAATTTAGCAAATTACAACATTTTCATTATCCGCTTATCATCCTATGGACATCTAGAATGTTTCACTTTTCTAGAGCAGCAAAGAGCATGGATGAACAAGTTTATCTATAGAAGTACATAGGGTCCTTTGGGTTTATGCCAAGAATGCTATAGCTCGGTCATGTGGTAGATCTATTTTGTCGTTTTGAGAACCTCCACACTGGTCTCTATAGTGGTGACACAAGCTTATGTTCCCACCAGTAATGAATAAGTGTTCCTTCTTCCCCATAGTCATGACAGCATTTGTCATCGTTTGTTTTTTGAATCTTAGCTACTCTGATTTGAGTAAGCTTAAGTCACAAAGTACTTTTACTTTCCATTTCTCAGACAGCTAGGGGTGTTGAACATTTAAAAATGTTGCTCTGCCATTCATTCATATGTCATCCTCTGGGAACTCTTTCTTTAGTTCCATGCCCTACTTTTGAATTAGGTTGTTTTCTTGGTGTTTTAGTTCTTTGTGTATTCTAAATACCGGTACTTTGTCAGGTGTATAGCTGGTAATTTTTTTCCCCTATTCTGTAGGCTGAGTCTTCACTTCAATGATTGTGTCCTTTATTGTACAAAAGCTTCTTAGCTTCTTTAGGTCTCATTGATCAATTGTTGTTTTAGTGGCTGTTTAGAGTCCTGTTCAGAAAGTCCTTTCCTATACCAATAATTTTAAGCATATTTCCAGTTTTCTCCCCTATCACATTTGGGATATCAGGTCTTACACTGAAATCCTTGATTCATCTAGAGTTGAGTTTTGTGCAGGATGAGAGATAAGTATAGAATTTTCTTCTTCTACATGTAGCTATCTACATGCTGCTCAGCAACTTTTTTGTTGTTGTTTTGGTTTGTTTTTTGAGACAGATTTCTCTGTGTAACAGAACCCTGTGTGTCCTAGACTTGCTTTATAGACCAGGCTGGACTAGAACTCACAGAGCTCCACCTGCCTTTGCCTCCCAAGTACTGGGATTAAAGGCATGCATCACCATGCCTGGCCCAGAATCAGCAACATTTGTGAAGATGTCATGTTTTCTCCAATGTGTATTGTTGGCCTCTATCAAAAGTCAGGTGGCGTGTAAGAGTGTGGACTCTATGTGTGTTCTCGGTTGTATTTGATTGATCAATGTGTCTGTTTTTATGCCAGTACAATGTCGTTTTTAGTAGTATAGCTCTGCATTGTTTCAAACATGGCTCAAAAATGCCTACAACTCCAGCTCTAGAGGACCTAATGTCTCTGGCTTCCTCATTCACATGTATTCATGTAAATGTACCCCCACGGATATACATGATTAAAAATAATATAATTCTTTAAAATATTATTATGTTCACTGAGAAATGTTCCTTTTTGAGGTTTTATGTTAAAAAAACAAACAAACAAAACCTGCTGAGCAGTGCTGGCACATGTCTTTAATCCCAGTGCTTTAATCCCAGGCAGAAGAGACAGGTGGATCTTTGTGAGTTCAAGGCCAGCCTGGTCTACAGAGCAAGTTCTAGGACATCCAGGACTGCTTAGAGAGACTCTGTCTCAAAAATCCACCAAAAAACAAAACAAAACAAAAACAAAAAAAACCTTCTGTGTATTAGGGTCATTGGTGGAGTCTAGCCTCATTGAAGTTACAGTTAAGAGCATCTAATGGCTCGATTTTTTCTTATTCACTGTTGGTTAAGATCATTATCAATTTCCTGACACTTCCAAGATTTTTTTTGGCTCTTTTACACAGAGAAATCTGTCTCGAAAAACAAACCAAAGCAACAACCTTCATCTTCCATCCGCAGAGTGAGTCATAGCGATTGGCTTCTCTGACTGTCACTCAAAAGCTTGTTCTGCCTCACTCTTGACTGTGTATTCATGACCACCATGCTGTCTTCCTTCACTTTAAAGAACATCCTTGGGTAGGCTTACTTTCTAGCTCTATTTTATTTATGTTTCTTAGGCCTCTTTTTCCCTTCTCCACGCCAATCTCTTCTAACAGCCCAATTCCTGGTAGGAGAGAAAGGAGGTTAGTGGAGACAGGGGGCTGAGTTCTTTTTAGTTACTTCCTGCTGGTTAGTGTCCACAGGTTCCTTGGAGAAAATCCAATCTTCCTTTCAGGATATCTCCAACTTCTCATCTAACTGCATCAATAGCAATCAGGAACAGCAAGGGGGAAGCACCGGCAGCCTTCTTCTTTCTTGGAGCTCTTCAACACTTTCTGCCCTCTGGCATTTATTCTGTCTCCAGAGTCCCCGGATTTAAACTCTTTGTAGCTGGCAAGAGCCCCTCTCAGAGCCCTCATGAGGCAAATAGTTTGCTGCTGTGGACTCTCTGAATCAATCCCATAATTCATATGTGGGATTAAAACAAAAACATGTTTACCCATCATAAATCAAAACATCTACAACATCCCTGTTTTCACACTGGATACATATTTGATGAATCAGAATAATCTTATTTAAAAACAGATGGACTGGAAACCTCAATTCTATTTTTGTTGGAGGTGCCCTGTTGGTTGAGGTTACAGTTCTTTACTGGACTGGGTAGACATTACCAGCTTGGTGCTAAAGGCAGAACTCCCTCCCCTCAACAGGGTCCCCTCTTCTCTGCCCGACTTCATCTGGAGAATGTCTTTAACAGAGACTCCTAACTTGATGTGTGGCCTCTGACACACCTCCCTTCTAGATCTCCCCTCCTTGTGCCTATATGTTAATTTAGTACTGAGATTCTATTCTTATCATAGAAACGTGCTCTATAATGCAAATCAAGCATCCTTGAAGTGCCTAGTTCCAACTATTTATGTACACCTATTCTCGGAGCCTCCCTCCTCTCTGCACCCCCCAATGCCCACTCCCATGGGGGTATGTAACCTTTGTTCTTGGCACCCTTCCCCCCCCCCGCCGCCCACTCCCATAGGGGTATGTAACCTTTGTTCTTGGGAATTAAAATTGAACTAGCCATCAGATGTTCCCTGGGTATGAGATCTTTGTACGATTCTCCCGCTTTTCCAGGCACTTTTCATCTCCTGCCCCTCTTGACTTCATGGGCTTCTGGGAGGCAGCCCCAGGCAGGAGGAGAACTACACATCTTTTCTTATTTTATCTTATTTTCCAGGTTTAATAACTAGTTTTAAAATCACTATTAAAAAGTATTAGGTTTACTATGGAACTATCAAACAAAATTTGTTTTTTATTCTCTTCTGTCCCTCTGTTCCCTTTTGCACCCCAACCCAGTAGCTTCATTTCTGCTTCC